TTACAGTCTATCTCGACAGCTGTCTTCCCACCATGAGGTCAATTAATGTACGGTGAGGGGGAGGCGTGCAGAGGCTTTTCTGATTCTGAACCAATCCTGTGTCTTCATTATCGAATAGTCATTATCCTTTCACAGCTTTGAAGCGCTTTGACTTTTTCCACGACAATCATGCGACGCATAATTTCTGTCCGCATTCACGCTAATACACTGCCATTGTGTCTGATCACTAGTCCTGAAACGCTCTTAATTATAGAATGGTAAATTCAATTGAGAGTAAAATCAATTTCCACATGTTTATTTAATAATATGGCAACGCTTATAAATTGGACGACATTATTTGCAAGGAAGCGGAAGTAAAATTGGCTAAACATAGCATGAAATGGCGTTTTGTGGACTGAAGGGCGCGATTATGAATTTACCGACGCCTTGGTGCGTGCAAGGCGATTATGTCGACTTTTCAAAATAACCGTAGGAGTCAAAGAATCTCCAAATCTGACGCTGAAAAGCACTGGACACGTTTTCCCGCCTCTGGAAAAAAAACCATACGTGATTAATATAACAATACCGAGGCTGGATAGCATATTACTCCTCCAGGATCATGTTTCTCCCAGACTGTTGCTGTCTTTCTGCGTGAATTGGCATGTATATATTTGTATGTAAATGGCCAGGTTTATCAACAAATGCCCTCCCTGTCTACGCCAAGTCAAGACAGTCGAGGCAAACAAGCGGAAATAAAAATAATCTGGGGCACTAACCTTGAACGCGAATGATATGGACTTAAAATAACGAATCCCAATATTCATTGCGCATAGGAAACATGAGACATTTCCGTCGCATACCCTTCCATCTACCTTTAGGTATGTAACCAGGTTTTATGGCCAGCTTGCGATCATCTTATTTCTCATGAACAAACAGTGTCACTATTACGTCTGAAAGCATCTTCTGCAGCTAAAGTCTCTTGTTCACAGTGGCACTCATCCATCTACATCGAAGAAAACGAAAGACAAATGAATTCATCGGGATTCTCAGGCAAAAAGTTTTGATACGCCAACGCTTAGCGACCTTTGATAATACTGTATGAATATGATTTCCATATTTTCGCTGTCTTGCTTTTTCATTATACCGCCTAACGCTCTGACAGCCACCGTAAACTAGTCTAAAGCCGAGTAGCCATTGTTACATTATGGACTGCGCTACATGTTACTTTTAAACCAACCGTCTGATATATTGCATGTTTAATTGTCCCACCCTGGGCTACTTACTCAATAGTGAAACAAAAATTCAGACCAAGGACTAGGGTACTTCAATCGGTCGGCCAGACGGCCAGTCAATCAATCAGTCGATAAATCAGCCAGTCATTTTCGATGATCCTTATCCTTCCAGGTAGCGGAAGCATCCGCATTAGCCGTAGTTTCAACGTTTCTGATCTGGTAGAAACGACTGAGCTTTGGCAGACGATGAACTGAGTCTGAAACTGAGTTAGTCGAGGCACATATTCCAAGTCATTCTTGGTCATTCCTGGTATCTTTGGCAGGTTGTTTGAACAAGTAGCAGTTGTCTCACCGTCTTTTCTAAAAACATTCGCAAAACGTCGCCATACCATCGCATCTTTGGCTTGTCAATCTGGAGAAACAGCGGTTGTGCACCAATGCCATCTCTTATTTTCGAGATTATTACCGTTTATTATTTTATTCTTCAGTTAGATAGCATTTGTTTAGCAAGCTGATTTGTTATGTTAGG